TTTATGTCGAATTCATTGAGTTTTAAATACAAAACAATGTTATTATTGTCTTTTGATTACGCTTTACTCTGTTTACCTTATCAAGATGTTCCCCGCATGGTGTAGTGCTCTAGAGTCGCGGCGTAAGGAGTTGATCCTTACTTTGTTGGTTCAAATCCACTGTGTGACGTGGAGTCCAGTCCTTCGGATGAGACCGTATAAATCGGGGTTCCCGTGAAGCAGTGGGTGCTGGCACGAAAAAGTTCCCTCACTGCTAAAAAGGTGTAAGTGCCGAGTACAGGTTTAAATTTGAATCTCACCTGTGATGTTTCCAGTGGTTTAAGTTTTCTCAGCTCTCAATTCTCAACATTCAATTGGGCTTTTGAGTGTTATTACTGTTCGTCATCTTCAAACTTTTTAAAAGACTTTTTTTTATTGTTTAAAGTGCAGCATATCTCAAAAGTATTGTGTTGTTTTTGTAAATAAGAAGAAAGTATAAATCTTGAACATCTTTGTTGTTGTTTTTATTTAATCTCCTATTTCCAAGATGAAACAAATACTAACAACCATAAAAGTATACCAAAAAACCCCAAAACAAATACGTATAATGTATAAATTTGAGTTTTTATGAGCAAGAAACGAGGATCGTGAAAAAAAAGAACACCTAAGATAGTAACTTATTACTTTTTTTCCATTTAATGTTTATTTTTCAAATGTGTGACAACAAAAGATAAGGTTGCAAAACGCATTTACCACGTAAATCTGGAAATAAAAACAAAAAGAATCTTAAATTCAGATAACTTAAAATTTTATTAGATTAGAATCTATTTCAAAAATTAAGACACAAAATGATCATATTTTCTTTCATTTACTTCTTAATCGAAAAATCTTAGTACACGTATTTTGCAACATACTTTGTGTATATGTGTTTTATAGTCCTTGTACTTGGGATAATATGTTCTATTATGTTAATAAAACGAAAGTAGCGCATTTTTTACCAATATGGAACATCTTTGTCTTCCATACAGGCGCAATTGTTATCCAAGCAGTGGTAGTGACTATTGTCATCATGACAACGTCCAATCCCCATGCAATCTAGAATGCTTGAGCATGCTGAAACAGGAAATCAAAGATATAACATTCAAATATCTGTCATGTAAATTAATAGTAGACTAGCAGCTAGAGACCAGTAATTGAATTAATCATAGGATTGAAAGTACTTGTATCAGGTGATGTAAAAAAAAAATTAATCAATTTAAGACATTTGGATATTTTTATAGTATTTAGACATTTGGTAAATCAAATAATTTGCATTCTAACATTTTTTGAAATATTCATTCATTACATTTTATGGACAGGAAATATTGCTAACTAAAGGTGAAAGATCGAGTGTTAATTTTCAACATTGCTTGTTGAAGTATTTCGTTGGGTATATATATCATACAACTTACGAATAGAAGCGTCACATGTACACCTGTCTTCATGGCATGCAATGTGAGAAGAATTCGAAGAACACATGGTCAACTGACAGTCCCGTGCTTGTTTACACCGTTCAGCAATAATGCTGGCTGAATTTAAAGTGGATAGAAGGTTGTGATTTGAGGATTATTATATGAGCATATTTTGTAGGTCTGGTATAAAAGCCATTAAGAAATATATAAAGTAATTACATAAATTCCTATAGATAAGTAATACAATGTAATTCGGTTAAATGTACATATACATGTATATTACCGGTACATTACAATGCAGAGGCTTTTTTCTGATAAAACAATTCATGTCTTTTAATTTGCGATGCTGTCATGTCTTTTAATTTGCGATGCTGATTTTTTGCTAAATGCAAAGTGTGTTGAATTAAATGAATATTTTTTTTATTATTTTAAACATTAAACAATGAAAATAATTAAAACAACAGACAAGATATCTAGTCTGATAAAAAAAAAAATGAAAATAAATAAAAAAAAAAAAAAAAACTGGCCTGATGATTTGAAAGCAGTAATTAATGCTTTTTGTATGTTCGATATACTATTTACATCTACTTTCAATGCTGAATGACAGCTTGCCTATTCTTTAAAAAATGGCATTTTAGCGGGTTCCTTCCATTGTGATGCTGATTTAAGTAACAAAAAATAATCCCTGTCCTCAAAAACTTGAGATCCTTGTAGAATTTGAAATAAAGAAATCATTCAGAATGACTCTATAATTTTGCTTGATGTTAAAGAAATATTTTTCATATAAAAATAAACATCTCGTTTCCCTAATCTGAACTTTATGATTAATATCATTAAGATAAGAAAGCAAATTCTACTAAACCTTATTTTATATCAATTAAGAGCCATAGATATAATAAATAATTGATTTTTTTCCTTACCAGCAAAAATGACAATTACTCCAAGGAAAACTGTCTTCATTATTTATTGTTATATTAAAGATATAACTTCGAAGTTTTGAACTGAATGGGATTATTGGAGAGACAGTATCTTAGTTACATAACTTCTCTGGAAATTCCCGGGGAGCATGATAAAAGTATTAAAACCATCTTCGATATCTGGGTTTCTAAACAGCTTGCGCATGTACAGTTGAGTTGATTTTAGGTTTGTTTACCATTCTACCTCTTGGCTAAGTAGTCCCGATTTTCTTATCTTGGGCTAGAGTAAAGTCAGTCCAAAAATTATCAAGAGCTACGGGATAAGTGTTGAAGCTAAACTTTACTTCAAAAACAAAACAGATAGAGAAGCTTTTCGTTAAAAACTTTAATAGATTAATAGGATAATTTTAGGAATAGTCCTCGCTGGGTTTTTTCCTTTCTCTTTGAATTGCCTATGTTTATCTGGGTTTCTAGACATATTTTGTTTTTAGGGGCCGAAGGACTGGTTTTATGATATATGTAAATTTGTATTTCTAAAATAATTATAACTTGTGCTTATGCTGAAATGATTATTATGCGGAAAGTTTAGTTTGGACAAAAACTTCATTTTACTTCAAAAATATTGAATGATAAATAAGCGAAAAAATAGCAATAGAATATTTTGATCTTAGCATAATTCTTATAGACAGGAAAAGAAACAGTTTCAAGTTGTATACAAACGTCTCCACTTATAAAATCAATGAGCTCTGTGACCAAATAAAAAAGTAGAAAGAGGTAAAATGTAAATGGATTAAAATGATTAATACACTTTTGCAATATGAAAATTTATTTGTGTTAATAGTAGGTTGCTCATGCTGGTGTATTCTAGCCAAAGGTGGTTGAAATAATCTTACTCTCGGCACAGTTATTCCCCACTTATGTCAAGTATTTATACAACATAAGAATTCCAAACTTATTTTGGATATTATTTTATTAAATATTGAGTAATATTTGCTCTAATTTTTTAAAGAGTTCACCATATGTGTTTCCAGAAAGTTTATCTAATTTTCATTTTATTAGCAGACATATTTTTGTATTCCTATAAAGCAGAATTTATTTAAAAAACTGCTACATGAGAAGAATAAAACACTTGCTGTGAACTTTTACATTTAGATATATCGACGACGTATTATCAATCAACAATAGTAACTTCCATTCATATATCAACTCGATATATCCCAGTGAGCTTGAGATAAAAGATACCACAGAGTCTTACACACCAGTTTCATATTTGGATATTTTATTAGACGACTTTTATGGTAACCTAACAACAAAGCTTTTTGATAAATGTGATAATTTCAATTTTTCAATCGTCAACTTCCCTTAGTTATGTAGAATATACCCTTATCTCCTAAATATGGGGGTTTTTCTCCCAGTTGATTCGATACACAACAGCATACTCTACTATGAAAAATTTCTAAAACGAACCAAGGTATTGACAAACAAAAACAAGTCGATGAAACAAGAATATCAACAGTCTCGTTTGAAGTCATCATTTCGCAAGTTTTATGGTCGATACAATGACCTTGTCAACATACACAACCTATCATGAAGTCAAATACTGACTGATGTTTTTCATTCTAATTGTTAGGCCATTATTTACACACTGAATCATCAACGGAATTTTTTCCTTTTTTCCCGATCATGACAAGGAGCACAGGCGGGTGTGACCGGTCGGCAGGGGATGTTTACTCCTTCATGGCACCTGATCCCACCTCTTAAAATTGACTGTTCAGTGACATTTTAACTTATAGATAATAGGTCTTCATCTTTCGAGAACTAATTTATACTTAAGATGTGCTTTATCTTTATTAGTTTGTTCATTTATTTATTTAACGTCCCTTCGAGAATTTTTCACTCATATTGAGACGCCATCACTTTCCGGCGAAGAACTGCAAATATAGACCCGTACTCGGCACTTACGGCCTTTGAGCAGTGAGGGATCTTTTTCGTGCCAGCGCCTACTGCGACACGGGACCTCGGTTTATACGGTCTCATCCGAAGGTCCGGTCTTTACGTCCTTCAGTGGGATTTGAAACAGCAATGTAAGGATCAACTCCTTACTCAAAGTTTGTAAACTGAGCTGAATAAACTGGACAGTATAAAGTAATAGCAGACAAAACATGGAAGGTCAAAAAGTATTAATCATGCGAACATGTAACCTTGATTTTATAACCAAAGATTACAAATCTAGGTTACCTATAAGTTCTCATACATTCCAGGTGTTCTACATTCGACATGTAGGTCAAATACCCTTATTTTTATTAAAATGAGTATCGCCAAAATTAAAAGAATGCTGGTTTTGCGCTCTTTTTTGTCTACATGCTTTCACGTTATTGAGCCGACTTTGGGCATTTGAGTCTTCCTTGATGAGTTATAGATCAAGTTAACATTTTGTTTTGCTTCTAGCCTTTTTAATTTTTAAGAGGAACCAGTGTTACTTATGCAGCAGTCTCAGAATTGTTAATTTTTTTACGCTGTTTTCAATAGGAATTATCATGTCTGGTACAATAAACCAACACAAGTGCTGTGATGAATAACAAGATAATTTATTTGAATATTTTATGAGATTCATTAACATTTATTGTTTCTTAAACCTCAAGATTTTGTCCATTTTAAATGATTACATGCGAATACATCTACACATGCCATCCAAACAGTGGAACTCTTCATGTTTATCGTGGCACCTTCCCATCATAACGCAATCTTGTCTATTACTACATGCTGGAAAGATCGAAAAAAGAAGCATATAAAAGAATAATCAGCGCACAACAGTTAAATAAATGTCAATCACAGTACATCAATAATTAATAAAACATTTTAACTGACATTAGGGTATAGGAAATGAAATCCTCATTCCCATAGTGCTTTGCTTCAGTATTTAATTAGAAATTCCAAGAGCTAAACATCATGCAAGTACAAGATGATTTAATGAGATGAATGCAAATTTGGAAAATTTTTATACTTACACATAGCGTCAGCCATGCAGGTACAGACATGGTGTTCACATTCTACGTGAGATGCGTTAGTGGAACACTGGGTATCGGCACAATCATCGATATGATCACATCGCTCTGACAACACGTAGGCTATAAACATAAATAAAAAAAAATTACGAATTATTTGATTGTTTTCATAAACTTGAAGGTTTACAGTCGAAGAATCAACTTATACTATGTACAAATTAAAGAGCCTATGCAAGACTGAAATGCTTCAATAATTATATCATATAGAGAACTATATTCAAAAGTGAGTTATTAACCTGAATTTATTTATATGCCTATCTTATTTCTTTGGTCTGCTCTTTTGTTTTAATTTTTTTTATTATTTTTTTTTTTTAATTTTCTTATTTATTTTGATTTCGTATAGAACAAGGAGGCATTGATGGACATTAAAACAGGATAAAATGAAAAACATATTGATGAATGAGCGTTGACTCATATTAACAGAACAAAGAGTTAAATGTAGTCAGGCATACATTCTAATTGGAAAAAAATAAACTATCAAAAACGAATATTTATATTGTATGCCTTAAAATTTTCGTTTAAATATGAGTTTATAGAGTTATACGAAATATAGGATTTAACATACGATATATCTTTAAAATAAAATCTTTGTTGATTTATCATCCTCAGAAAAAGTATTTTTCCTGGACAAGATACGACTGTCAAAAGCATAACTTCCGATCATCGTTTTTAGTGTTACCGAATACATTTGTTTTTAATTTTACATATTAATTTTATAATTTTGTATAACCATTATCAAAACTGATATTCCTGGTGTCACATGCAAGTTAACTTGATGAACTTACCAATAGCTACAATTGAGAACGCAATGATGATCGACTTCATTCTTCTGTTTAATGTGTGTCTTGGTAGGGAAAAATTCGTCTTCAGTTCCAGTTATAAGAGACGATACACACGACACTGAGAGATAAAGCGCCTTATCTTACATGAATGACTGTTCTTAATACCTTCTTCATGTGAAAGAAGGAATTAAAGTCCAGGTCCGTGACTTTCCCCTATTAGTAATTATCATACTTCATTTATCGTATTTTTCAATATTTTTTTTTTAAAGTCAAGAATAATGAAAGCTTCTGCTATGTTAGCAGGAAAATGGCCACGTCGATCTGAAAAAAGCAAAAGTGAGATGGTCAGCAAAAATTGTTAAAAAGCAGAAACGACAGATTTTCAAATCAATAAACAAACAAACAACAAATAACAATAAAAGAAACTGGAAATGATGCTATTACAAACAATACCGTTTGTTCATGTATGTTATTCCAAACCGATTTTCACTGATTATGTGGTAATGGCAGTCATTTCGGATGTTTCTTTTACAACAACACATTATAAACATTGTTGTGAAATGTCATTTAGATTTTCTGAGCCAAATGCAAGAATTGCTGACAAGGTTAAGTGGAACAAAAAAACATATGTAGTCCGACTTCGTACAGGTAAAGGAAATAACTACATAAAATCGATATTATTCACAGATAACTACAGTCCTTGACTGCTGCTAGCGGTCCTTCGGATGAGACCCTATAAACCGAGGTCCCGTGTTGAAGGAGATGCTGCCACGAAAAAGATTCCTCACTACTCAATAGCCCTGAGTGCCGAATAAAGGTCTAATTTTGCAGCTCTCCACCGGTAAGTGGTGCCATCTCCTTATGAGTAAAAACATCTCGAGAGGGACGTTAAACAAACAAACAAACTGCTGCTAGATGTCTATTTTTATGATGAACATACATTAATGGCAGATTTTTTCCAGATATCAATACTTCAGTTTCACATACAAATGGATCTACAAAATAAACCTACTAAATAGGCTCTTAGATTGATAAACTAAAAGTATTTGATATGTATCAAATATGGAGAGAACGAACATGCAGTTTCAAGCTCAAAAAGTCCATTGAGACACGGACCTCAAAAAAATAAAAATCAGAGTTGGGATCAAGTGTCATGGAGGAGTGAATTTCCCCCCCAACGTGTGCTCCTTGTCATGATCGGGAAACCTTAAAAATCCTTAGACAATTCAATGAGTAAATAATGACCTTACAAACAGTATGAAAAAACATCAGTCAGCATTCGACTTAATGATAGCTTGTATTTGCTAATTATATGCATGGAATATATACGATCATATCAAGAAACATAAAACACCCACAATACATACTCTAGTAAATATTTCAAAGGTGAACGTTGGATCAAATATGTTATTTTTCGAATACGAGATCTTCCTGGTATAAGGCTTGGCTTAAGAATTGAATTTTGAAAACATGTTTCTAACCTGATAATGAGAATCATATCAACTCAGTCATGTAACTCACTCCCAGAACCGTTTTCGGAATCTTATATTTGATACACCTACCCTTTCTATAATATTAAAGATTTTATTAATATTCAGAGAAAATATTTAAATAAATTTAGACCTTTACTCGGCACCCAGGGCCACTGAGCAGTGAAGGTTTTTTATCGCGCCAACGCCTACCGGGACACGGGGCCTCGGTTTTTAAGGTCTCATCCGAAAGACCCGCATTTTTCACTCAAACATGCCGAGCGCTTCGGCGAAGAAACAGTTGCTACCTGTTTTTTATCGACTTAGATCAGTCACACACGTGATTCGAACATAAGACCTTTCGATCACGGAGCGAGCGCTCACTGACTGAGCTACGTGACGGTTTCACCATTAAGAAAAAAATGATTAAGATATGCACAGGGGGATTTGCCAGATTTGACCTTCGATAGAGTTACAAGGTTATTTTCCGGATTTTGGCATTCAATACTTTCTTTCGTTCGGGGGAACCTGTTATAAATAGAAATGTTTCTTAAGCACATTCATTCAACAAAAAGAATTTTACAACGTCATCTGCAGTTGTCATAGTATTGAGAAATTTCAAAACAAGAAAAGTGACCCCTTTTTCAAAGATTTACCTCAAAGCATTAATTAACTGTGGCATGTACCCTGTCTTGGCATTGTATGTACCAATATCTGAAAACTTTTGGTCATCTTCCTCGTCCTCTCTTCCAATTCATGAGAGATGAACCAGTTTCCTATGCAGTTGTATCAAAATATCTACACAACGCAGTACGGTACTGAGGTCATAGCTTTCTAATTGGAGCTGCAACAAGCTCAACAAGGTTTTTTTTTCTGAGAATTGTATAGAGAAGATGGGAAGGTGGAATTTTAGACGCTGTAAGGAAATACACCCTTTGGCAAAACTAGTGCATTGGAAAAAGCGATGAGAATTCAGTTTAGTTACCCTAGTTTATTTCTTGTCTCAATTACATGAAGTTTCATTTATTTCATAACACAGACCAGGAGTTAAATGTTGCATGTTAAATTGAACCTTATTCGTAAAGATTGATGTTTCTTGCCACATAGGTCAGAAGTAAACTGAGATGTTTACTTTCTTAGTCATTAGTTTTGTCATTACACAAGCCAGTAGTAACATGAAATATGGAGATATCAAACAGGTATTCAAGCTCAAAGGTCATTTAAATAATACAAATCGGGTAGCAGAGCAAACACGGACCTCCAAAATTATCAGAAGCAGGATCAGGTGCCATATAACTGTTGTGTTGTTGCAGTATAAGGGTATTGTACTGGTCAGACTTTAACTGTTGGGTACACAGTTTGTGCTATGTTTTTTGAATGATTTTATTTAATTCATATGTATATATTTATTAAAGTATTCCAAAGACTTAAGCTTCCCTTTTTGGTATATTTGTGAGTTATCTACATCTAGCTGAATGAAACTGTGTCTACATTTTAAAAGATAATAATACGAAGCAAGCTCCGATTGATGCATAATTTTGTTTTAATGTATTGTGTGGATAAAAGCAATTGTCAATCACTTGTTACTTCTTAGTCTGTCTATCAATATTGAACACTGCAGAAACTCTAATATAATGCTACTGTAGTATGTATCTTGTCTCCACTATGTTATGGAATGATTACTAGTTTTTTTTTTATATATTATATTTAAGTTGAATGCCAGAGCCTAATTTTAGTTGATCTAGCTAGACCACGTTTTTTATAGCGCTGTGTTGATACTAACAGCTTTTATAGTTGTTTGCTTCTGGTGGCAGCTTTTTGTTTTGACAACTTTGTGTTTTGTGTAATTTTTATTTGGCATTATTGTTCCTTCAAAACTGATGATTACTTGCGAGACGTAAGATCCCATTGCGAATTCTTTCAGTCTCTATACTAAGGTAATTTTTGCTGTATTAAAACGCACTTTGAAAAATTACGCTTTTTGAAGAAAAAATTCAAAGTGCGTTAAATTTGGAACCGAGTTTAATCACTTTGAAAAAAAAAGTTATCTAACTAGGTTCAACTATTCATTTATCATATTTTCAAGAATATTGACCAAACCTTGCATTTTTTTTTTCAAAGGGCGTTAATATCGACCATATTAACGCACTTTGAAAGAAAGTACACGGTTTGGTCAATATTATTGTAAATAGGATGAATAAGTAGTTGAACCTAGTTGGATAACTTTCTGGTGATGACGTCACTTCCGGATCTGATATATATAGACGTTTTAAGGATTTACAGGGGTTTGTCTGGTTCCCAGAGGTTCTCGTTAATATTATAAATTGGGTCTTTTAGAAGTAATGAAGGAATGATTGTTTAATAGCACAATTTCGTTTCCTTTTTTATTTTATCCAGTCTGTAATAAGTTAGGTACATGTAAGGGTCGCTAAATGACTTAAAGTATAGCATTTTTCTTAGGAAAAAGGAGGTGATTATGATTTTTCCATCCAAAATTATTTTCCCGCACAATATGATGGTCTTTTTATAGTTATTAGATAAGTATTTAGAAGTATGAAAAAATTGTTTATTCCTGCACAATAGAACAGCCCCCCTCTCTATTATTAAGGGGTATGAAGTATTAAGGGGTATGAAAAAAATATTTATGCATTTTGTACATTTTTTTAATTTGTTGTAAAGCTACTTTGGTCGAAGTAAAGTCAACTGGATATTGTTGCTTAGATCAGTGATATGGCCCCTGAACCTCTTTAAAATAATAAGGTGCGTTATTCTTCTTTCAGGAAAGTTTATCTCCATTTTTCATCTAATTTACGTTAACTCAAATTTATTGAAAGTATATCAATGCCATACCAGTTATGTAAATACATATGTTTGGGTAGGAAACATAAAGAATTGGGCTGAGGAACATTCTACCTGTCTTCTCCTCGTTCTGGATGAAGGTAGATCAATTCATCTGTTTATCGAATGGAATATAACAAAATAATGCCGTCTATTACTAAAATAAAATCTAAGTCCAGGATTTTTCAATACATATTTTTTCAAAGTGTGTTAAGTGTCTCCATAGTAAAAAAAATTTTGATGTACACTCTTAACGCACTTATTTATTTATTGTCGTCAAATAAATGACAATGCTTAGTCATTATTGTTTGTCTGTTATGTTTCAGCTACGTCTTAGACAGAAGCCTAGCTAGATCACTAAAATTACATAAATATGTGTGAACTTGAAGGTAATGGCTTCATTCAAAATTAATATGGGAAGAATTTTCTCATGTGTAATTTGTATTTAAAATATGATTCCTTTTTAAATCGAAATTTTTTTTCATAAAACCTACAATGAATTTGTATATATTCTCCCGTTCTACTTTGAAATTTTTGTTTTGCTCAATTTCATGTGGCATTTCAAGAAAGTAATCCATCTAAAATGCTACAGCCCGTAATTTTGTAAATTAATGACAATCTAATCTCAGATAGTTAGAAGGTTAATTAATGTTTAAAAATAAGCTTCTCTGAAAACTTTTGATTTATTTCGATACATACATGTACACTAAGATATCAGAAATAACACAATAATTAAAAATAACAAAGTATGTAAGTTAACAAAGGTTAAGGTTTCTTGAGTAATTTTCGTCGGAAGACCTTTGAATAATGATTCTAGTGACATCTATCTGACAAATAGTGATACTTGGTAGAAATCTTTTTTCATCTAATAGACCTGTTTTTATGTCTTTATCAGTAGTAATTATGAAAATTCACATTCATACACAAATATCGATATAGCAAATAAAAAAAAAAACTAGAAAATAACTGAAACTGCTGAAAATATAGCTGAAATTCAGTATCTCGAACCCTATATCTCGAATTGAATTCAATTGGTATGCGAATATGAGTTTGAAGCTCCAACCCCTTTTTCTGTAACCTAAATATTCCGAATCCTGAAATATCTCAAAAATTAAAAAATCTGTAATACGATAATACGATGATCATAATCTGTTCACAAATTCTAAATTTTTAAAAGTCTCTGTTTAAAAACTGAAAGAAAAAAATACCAGTATATTTAAATGATGGCGTTTCAACTAGAGTAAATATAATGAAGATAACAAACAGATCAATCTCATAAATCCTATAAGCAGCATCAAAGGAGAAAAAAGGGCAAATCAGCCACAAAAGGGCAAATATGCAGACAGGGTGGGGATAGATGTCTAGGAGTAAGCAGCTCTTATTGATCGGTCACACCCGATGTATATTACATGTATCTGTGATAATCACACTTACAAAGCAATCCATGGGAACAAATTATAAAATTAAGAGGTTCAACACTGGTTAAAAAAAGAAATGTAGGTCAAAAATTAATCAAATACTTTGCTTCCTTTGCAAATATGATGGACATTATAACGGCCATTTGGTTTGCTCTATTTTCATGTTACAGCATGTTACAGCAAGCTTTCTTAAGGAGGAATTCTTCTCTTATTCTACTCATATTTCTTGTATTTAAAAATTAATGAAATTTTCATAGATTCAAGAAGACAATATCACTAAGTGATGGTATCAATTAGATTAAATTTGACCGTTTTATTTCAGAAACAAGGTCAGGAAAGGTCATTATATTTTTCCTTGACATTTAGAGTAAAAAATTACTGTTGCTAATCATGTGATGCCTACTTCTATTTTAAAAGATGAAATGTTTTTCTTTTTGCACAATAAGATGTTACCATATCGGGTCTATCAGATGATTCTACCAAATTAATTGACATTATTTAACTTAAAGAGATATTGGTTAATCCGGATTTCCTCTGTTTTTCTTAAATTTTTAGGATATATTAGTTATTTGTATATACTTCTTATATTTAAATATCTCTTATTTTTACATATGGTAAGGTAGTCATATAAATATACAAAATGATACAAAAACAAAAAGCTTTGGCCGTTTAGTAAGAGAGAAAAATCACTTTTTACTGATTTTTTGCTCAAATCTCTTTTAAGGTTGGAGGCTTTTAAAAGCTAACAAGATTGTAGTTTGTTTAGAAAATCATTTGTTTCGAAAATCATTTGCTATGTTTTAAAACTTTAGGGCATTATTTATAATTTTAGTTACATATCAAAATTTCTTCAAGTCTTTGAATGTTTAAAAAAATTAATAACATGTAATGTTCTGTAAGTGATTTTGATAGGCAGAAAAGAAGATATTTTCATACGCCGCAGTGGCACCAAAAATATAGTCCCTTATGGATTTCAAACTCAGTTTACCATTTCTATTTAAAATTGTACAATTATGATGAGTAAAGAAAAATATGATCTTTTAAATACATTACAGCTAAGTTTATAAGAATTACAAGCAAATATACTTGGAATATTTCGTCTAGTCAGAAACCAGACAAGAATCCCTCCTTAAGTGAATCACGTACAAAAAAGTTTTTTTATTTCAAAGATTAGCGTACAGGTATATTAAAACATAAATCATGAGTCGCAAACCGACGATATGAAAATAAAATTGCATCTTTGCTAAACATTTCTTATCATATCCACTATGTTTCACTAATCCCCAGGTAAGAATTCTGTTCTTAATCTTAAATAAATTTTATTTCATACGAATAAAACAAGAAGTCGGCTAATAAAGGAGCACAATTTGTTTCTATAGCTATTCGAACGGATTTGTGGGAGGACCGATCTCTAAAGACTGCATAGGCACTGTCTATGAGGAACTCTAGAATCTCTGATTGGAACATCAGAGTGCCTCATGTGTACAATCATAATGAATAATATTGGAGATAACTTATCATAAGATATGAATATCTCAGAGTTCTTTTTTTATGAAGCAGCTGTTCATGATGTCCAAAATTCTAGTCTCGAATTTATCACGAGGAATGATTAAATTAAGTGTTGAAAAGTTTCAAATCTTCTTAAAATCCTTATGAAATTTTGAAAAAAAAAATCTATAAATATAAATTATTTATGGTGGTTGCACTGTGTGTTTATTCTTAGATAACGCATCACTTTCTTAAAAGAGATCCAGCTACTGCTCTGCGCAAGCACCTAGCTGTCCTTAGTGGAATTTTCCATGCGCGTTGTTTATTTCTGAATTTGTAAACATTGGCTTCAGTCATTATCTAACCACCGCCATTCTCTCCACTTTTTGTATTGCTTTCTCGTATTGTTGTACATATACAGTACAGTATGCTTATATTTAGAAATATGTTTCTTGATCATGCAAGTTTACAATTAGAACTCAGAAACGCTTTATCAGTCCTACGGTATGTTTTTACTCAGGTGCTCTTTTGTAAGGCAGATGATGCCCCATATTTTCATTTTGTTGGAAATGCATTTAGAAATACGTTTCTTAATTATGCAATTTTACAATTAGGACTCAAACTTAAGATAGTTTTTAACTCAGGTGCTTCTTTTGTCAAAAATTTGCATAGATCTTGTGCATGGGTTGTTCCATAATATTTTTGTCCCCAGACTATTTTATTGATTATATATGTTTACTATCATTTATTTGATTTGTTTTAAATAAACAACAATTCTTATCCCTTTTACCTATGTATTACTCTTATGATTTCATGGGAACTGTCAAACAAACATAAAACATTTTATTTCACAACTATTAATATTGCATAGATGAACCATATATCGATGTCCATGAAGAACGATTCAAAGATAATGTTTATTTATTTATTTTTCTTCGTCCTTTATAATTGACATCTACAAAGAAATTTCTAAAAACGCCAAGAAGAATGCAACTGACACAAACTATTCCCTCTCTCTCTCTCTCTAGATACAAATTATATTCAATCATGTACTTGTTACTGAAACATTATTCATAAGTAACTGTAGTTATTCTTCCGGGGGGGGGGGGGGGTAGAATAATATGCATTATGGTACCAGTCAAACACAGGGATTAATTTACAGATCAAATCAGATTAAATAATGAAGCAAGTTGAACATATCCTTTAAATAAACATTTATTGAATGACATTAAGATTATTAATTGATTTAAGAATGGATGCTGAGCGAGTTATCAGTGAGGAATGATTACTATGTGGTTACCTTTGACCATTAGTAAACAATAAATGTCAGATCAAAAGGATCTTGCTTACATCTGCCAGTATTCCATCTTGACGAAACGCCCCGTTAAAGAGGTCACGCTCTTTGCACACGTCATTTCTATATACTTAACCTATACACATCAACATATTATTAATTTTGATTTTAATTATAAAAATGTATGATGTTTTTAAAACGTTAAATAAATACTAAGTTTTAAAATTCTTAATTGACTGTGCAAGTAACTTTCATTTTTTTCTACTATTTTCTTTTCTTTCAAGTAAGCAATTCAGCACTATGATAGTAATCAAAGTATACACTAATATATTTCAATAAAATCTTTTTCTCTCCGAAGAATCTTTTCTCTTGTAGTGCGTAAATATTTTTGACAAATAAAAAAGTAAAAACTTGTTAACGGCCCAAAGTAAAATAAGCACCAGTAAATTACAAAATATGACTTACTTAGTATCAATAAAATATCTTTACTAACTATCGTCGTAAAAAATGCTTCAATTTTGATTTCTTTTTTTTTTTTAACCAAACACATGGATTCATTCACGATTGTACACAAAAATATTCTGTGAATTTATTTTACAGTTGACAGAAAACGGTGTTTTACCAGGTCTACCGGATTTGTCCTCGTAGAATAAAGGAAAAATAGTGAATGTTATAGCGGTCAAGGTAAAGATTTTTTTAAATAATAAAAACCAAACATATTCGTTGTTTGTTTGTTCTTTATTAGTTTTGATTTGTTTTATTTTCTTTCTTTTTTGTTTTGTTTAAATCTTACTTTTTTTTGTTAACATACACATTAGGGGAATCAATAGCCCTTAAATATATAATCTATTAATTTTCTGAGCAGTTCACTGGCAATATTTTTTTCTGTCTAACATGAGAATGTGTTGTTATTTAATAAAAAAAAATGTATTTTAAAAAATACACATGTTGGGAATTGTAAAAGTGCATAAAGTTTTTGACAATAGTTTGCATGCAAGAGGGAAAAAAACCCATAAAATTTTTTAAGAATATGTTTATCTTCCTACATGTAAGTTAATATTATAAATAGAAAATGTTCAAATGTTTCTTAGAATTCTTAAAATTCATGTGTTGTCATTCTGACATCGGTGACTTAACCATTAATATGACTTAAGGGTTTCTCTTAATTATATTTCATAATTAACATTTTCCAGGAAAATAAGGTTATAATGAAATTCTAATATCTTTCTTGTATTTTAATATTTTATCAGTGGTAAGCGTTTTCAAAGAATAAATGCGGAAACCGAAACAGCCCCCCCCCCTTCCACAAGAAAGAGTACAAGGACGTTTAAAGAACAAAAGACATGTCACTCGCCATGGTTCAAGTACCGTGTCAGTGTCCGCATAAATAATGTATAATCTGAACTGGACAATTGAGCAAGCTACAACGTCTTTCTTTATCATTAAACCAAGAAAGACCATTGTCTTTTAGCATGACCTCGTTGAAAATACTTCTGATATTGTGTTTTGGGTTTTTGAACCTTAATACCATTCGTGGTACATCGTTATATTCCAACGACCGTGTTCCGTTAAATGACTGCTGTACGGGATGTAATTCTTCAGAAGCCCATTTTGGATATACGGAAGCAACCTGTCATGGTAAATATTCCAGAATGACTTTCTCCTTTTGAAAAATGCAGAAAAATCTTCTTCTTTTTTTTTATTAACTGTGCTTGCAGTTGTTACTAAGACATTCAATTGCAGGTTAAGAATGTTTGTACTGTGTCAAAGTGGATGAAAACCATTTGAAAAAGGTTTTCGATCTTCTATGTATTGACAATTGATTGGATACCTATTGTTTAAAATTAAATGTAGGTGATATTTATTTTTTCTAACTAAACTTTATTTTCAGATGTCTAGAATAATCGCAAAAATAACAAATATTTATTGACTAATTTTAAATTCAATGTAGGTTATTCTGCTTATTATCTGATTTTAAAGCTTTTTTTACAGTGAGATTTATAAATAAAAACGTATTAGTCGTGTTCATTGAAAAATTACTCTCTCAAAAAATATTCCGATCAATACATATGAATTTCGAGATATGTGCAATACACGAGCATATAGTTAAATGAGGATTTATGAATATAATTATGCAAAGACCTCAAATATCTGTGAAATTTTTTCGACGAATTACGATCATGAAATCAAAATAAGGAGAATAAAAGTTTGTTTTTAAAAATCAGTTTTAATCCAATTCACATACCTGAATTACTTTCTGTAAACAAAGTTTTCTAGTGCTCACGCAATGGGTTGCCTCCTTCAATACTCATTCTCATTGGGTCATAATGCTGCATATTAATTTAAAAACTTTCTTTTTATGCTCCCGTAATCGAATATTCGGGGGCATATAGTTCTTCTTCTGTACGTCGCTCTGTTTGTTTATCTGTTTGTCCGCAAAATCTTTAACCTTGGCCATAACGTTTGAATGGTTGGTGCTACGGCATTCATATTTCAGATGTGTATGCCTTGTAAGGAGACTCTTATGCATACTTTCATGTATGATATATATATATATATATATATATATATATATATATAGAGAGAGAGAGAGAGAGAGAGAGAGAGAGAGAGAGAGAGAGAGAGGTTTCAGTTTTACAAAAATAGGTCATACACCATTGTCAAGGTTAATAGGTCACAAGGAATAAACATATGAAAAATACGAAAGTCCTAGCACCAACCGTTCAGAAGTTATACATATTATTTTCATAATTAAGTAGGTAAAACTGTATTGTGAAAGTCATGAGGTCAAAAATGAAGGTATTGAAAGAAGGGTTTTGTCACAAAGAATACACATGTGAATTATGAAATCCCTAACACCATCCATTCAAAAGTAATGGTCAAATTTTTTAAGTTTTCCAAAGTAGGTCAAACTCCAAGGTCGAGGTTAAAAGTACAAATGTTTGAATCTTAAGAAGTTATTTAAAAAAATACACATGTGAAATATGAAAGCCCCAGCACCAACCATTCAAAACATATGGGCAAGGTTTAAGTTTTTGCAGGTAAAAAAGATAAACAAACAGACAGATGAACGTACAGACCAAAAAACTGTATACAAAAATGAAAAGAGTAATGCTGAATAATAATTTCAAAATCCTGTAGGAAAAATAATACTATCATCACATAAAAATATCTATTTTACCAATTGACACATGAAATTTCAACAATATTTGTTCCGAAAAAGTAAAAATTTTGAGCAATATACTGTCATTTAAATTTTCTAAAGAAAAGAAAATCTGTAAAAATGAAAGACTTTTGTCTCTACTTGAATAATTCTACGAAATGCTACGTGAATAATTCTACACAACTGCTTAACAGAGACTACTGTTTATGACAAGGATAATAAAATTTATTAGACAATCGTAGATAAAAATGAGGAAATAATCAGTAGACCACTATGGGTTGTTGTTGCTTGCACAATTCTCATATATATAATTATGTCCATTAACAGTAATAGTGCTCCAAAAATGTTTAGTTGACAGGCAAACGACCTCACCAAAATATATTTCTATGCTTAACACAACTCATACCACCTATAAGACATAATCCTAAGAAGGTAAGACTAGGTGACAGAAAAGATAATGTTCCTCGTCTTCACTGATGATCACTGACCTGAGGGCCGCTAAACTTAACATTTAAAGTTTCATTTGATTAATATCTTCATTAAATGTTTAGAAATAAAGGTCACTAGCTCGAGACAAGTAAACGACGGGGAACAAATCTAATTAAGGAGGTTGGATCCTGCCATCAAAATTTTTTTATCAAGTATATTTTTAGTATTTATACACATAGCTTGATTAAAAATCAAAACAAAAAATGGGGATCAATGCGCTTCTTTTGGCGCTACAGAGCATTTAGTTTGAACTTTTTGCACTGTAAACACGTCTTACACATAAATCAATTTTTAAAGTTTTTCCTCCGAATTTTTTATTCAAATAAATTATGGGAACAAACACAGTCTTCTTTCATCGTGAATAGACACAATAAAATTTGTGACAATGAAAAAATTTTCGAATTACTCCGCATGTATAATTATTTGACCTTTTTGCACTCAAAAAATTTCATTTTGCTGGAATTAAAAATTTAACAAGCAAAAAATCATTTGAAAGTAATGACATTTTACTGAATTTGAGAAGAATGGTTAAAATTATGTTATATATTCAGAAAATAAAATTAAAAGTGGGGGTCTGTGATGTTAATTTTTAGATATTACTAAAATAGTGCTAATTTTAAGCTTAAATTAGGGCTATTTTTTTTTCTTGTTTTTTTTTTTTTTTTTTTTTTTTTGTCATAATATATTTGCTATATTTATCAAGTATGATGATAGAATTCATGACAGTTAATTTAATATATAATTAAGGACCAGTATAAAACAGTTCACTGCACAAAATAACTCTGTGTGCAGAATGCTTGTAAAAATAGGAATCCAAACTTAACATACTTTAAATACTTCGAAAGAGAAAAAAATGATCATATTCTTCTAAAAACCCTTCCGCCACAAAATATAGTTCCTCACTAAATGCCTTTGGTATGGAATTTAATCATGGAGTTTTAACTTAATATAGTTTAATTGGCATTGTAGAATCCAAATTTATTGTAAGAAATAAAACATTATGCATAATTTTTAAAATATAGGTCAAGATAGAAATCTGCTCAAAAGCTCAGGAGCGAACCTCGTTAAGCACTGAGTCATATATATTTTCTGATTTCCGTGATAAAGAGCAATAATTCCCATGTACTTGTCTAGTATATTTGGTTTTTCTGTAATACATGTATATATAGCCAGACCGTTCAATAGGCAACGTCCCTTGGTGCCCTACGTAGTGTAAACCTATAGGGTTTAGAAAGGAAATTTATTTGAACGTTTTAAATTTGGAATAAATTCAAATCATAATCATTTTATTTATTAATAGTGAACTTATTAGTGACGGTAAAATATGAAAGTGTATCAAACTAGGATGGACATGAATGGTGTACCAAATTCAGCGACATTATAATTTGAAAAGAGACTTTAATTTAATGAACTATAATTATCTTGATAAAACAAATTGGATTTTGATGTTGGTACAATGAACTATAATTTTGTAGATTGTTTTGTAATTGTATTGATCAGAATAGATCAATCAACGATACTAAGTAATAAAATCTAAACGGAAATGCAAAGTTACTATAATTTAGATTTTTGACTACGAGCAATAAAATTGGGAACTTTGAAGTTGACAAGAAAAAGAGTTAAGGGTAGAGGGTGGCATCATGTTGGATTTGTCAACGGACAAAACTAAAGACAATATGTAGGTGGCAAGGAAGTGGTAAACAGCCGATAAAAAGTACATTTATATTCGGGACGGTGAATACACTTAGAGCAGAAAATATCCTGTTTTCAGGAAAAAATACACTTTTTACAACTGTTAGGCTTCTTAAGTTCTTACAGTTTTTGGTTCTTTCTCTCAGCTCTTCAATACATGCATGTTGTACTTTTGGCAATTTCGGATTTATCTTAAAAACTGTTGTTTATACAAATTGTTTGGTATATTCTGATGACATTCCGGAAATAACATTTAAAACTATAAACGATTAATGTGTATTAATAAATTTTAGAAACAAGATCTCATTATTGGCTTGTAGTAGTCAGACCAATAAAACATAATATTTTTCATTCTTTCATATAAAATCTGTAATGGCACAAAGTGATCTGCTTTGAAAATGCATATCAGTAATATTATGTATATATTTGTGTGTGAACATGTGTGTATATGTATCTGTTCATAATTGAATGTTTATGTGCACATTAATGCATGAATGTGCATTCGTATCTGTATATGTATGTATATGTACTCGGAATATATTTACATATTGGGTATACCTTTCATAGTAATTTTATGATTACTTACTTGTTTATCCAGCTTAATATTATCTACTGGATTTTAATCTAGTTCTCTTCATTGATATGTGAAGCTGTTTGGTTTTAATAATTGCATGCGATTTTTATTTTTCATTGCAATTGAGTGAACTGCAACCATTACTTGTTATAATCATGCATGATTATATTATTGTTGTAAATGTAAATGTACATGCTCCCTTAATTGGTGAAAAACACATATACATGTATAATAAATAAAACCCTGGGCATCAACAAAAGTAAAAAAAAATATAACCATATCAAGGACACAAAGGTCTCGTCATACCACAGACGTCCTGGGGCCAAAATCTTCTAGAAGTTCCTGACCTTTTTACTTAGATAAATCAAAAACTATTCGAGGCTAACAAGACAACAACTGAAAAGCAATATTTGAATACGAATATTAAGCTCACATGAGCCGAAGGCTCAAGTGTACTTTTCTGATCAAAGAGTGTCCAGCGTCCGTCTGTCGTCCGTTGTCTGTAGGCTGTAAACTTTTCACATTTTCGACTTCTTCTCAAGAACCACTGGGCCAATTTCAACCAAACTTGCCACAAAGCATCCTTGGTGAGTATTTGAGTAAAACGCATTTAAGACTTCAAATAGTGGAATGACCTGACAACCCTTGGAATGGACTAGCCTAAGGGTATATAAGGCAAAGCTTTGGGAAAGTCAGGCATTCAAAAGGTAGCTGTAGGGGTTGAATGATGAATCAGCAAAAGTTAAGGTATTCCATCATAATAGCAAAAGATTCAATGAAATTGAATACATAACAGATGGTAGGTATTGAATACTCAGCATATTTAGACATAATTCCCATTTAAATACTAGTAGCATGTAAAGATGGGGTGTGTCCAAAGTGATGACCTTGAAATTTGGTAAGAGTTATCTCCCTCTGTTTTTTTTTTTAAATAAAAAATATCAATTTTAAGAAACTTATATGGAAAAAATATCGTTTGTAATTGAGCATTTTTCCACTACAGTATTTATTGATATTCTTATTGTCTGAATTTCTATTTTTAAAAAAGGGCTCCATAGACTTCAATGCAATCTTTGTTAAGTACTTACTGCTTAGTTTATTATATTTTTGAAACTTTCTCTTGGTAAATCATTTTCTACTGTAAAATGCTTTGGATTAATATCAGAGTATTATGTATGTGATGAAAATTTCAGGATAGATGACAGAAAACCTTGAGGGAATGAGCAAAACAGAAGTATAAATGTTATGAACACCAGTGGCAAGTATCCTAGGGAATTGTTGTTAAGCTCTGGGTGTAGTAAATCTGAAGAAGATTCTTATCCATCAATGGAAACATAGAGGAGAAACACGGTGCAAGTAGTACCTTACACATGCAGTCCCTATCTCTAGATATGAGAAAATTTAAGTACTGTGTGATATACCCTCAGACAGGGCTGTCTTAATAATCATTCCAACCATTAACTCAGACAGAGTAAAATGAAAACCTATATATTCCATGTAAGAACCTGATCATATCATTACATAGGAAATATCTTTGAAATCTTCTTCTCAAAAACAACTAAGCCATGATTAGCCATATTTTTTCAGAAGCAACCTTAGGTATTGTATAATCAAGTTTGTTCAAATTATGACCTCCCCCAGGAGTTGGGGGCACAACAGAGGGTCAAAGTTTTGCATAGGAATATATAGGAATCATCTTTAAAAAATCTTTTGCTCAAGTACATCAAATTCATGATTAGACATATTATTATAGAAGCATCCTCAGGTAGCGTAGATTCAAATTTGTTCAAATTTACGGTGGGTAGGGTGGGGCCACAATAAGCAATCAGAGTTTACATATAGGAATACATAGGGAAAAAAATCTTTAAAATTCTTCTGTTTTAGAACAGCAAAGCCATGATTAGTAATAATGATATAGAAGCATCCTGAGGTAGTGTAAATTAAAGTTTGTCCTCCTTTCAATCTGCTGCTCCCTAGCCAGTTACTCCAGCATGCTAGAGGTTAACGGTGAGATACTTTTGACTTTGCGCCGCGTAACCTCTAGCATCCACTGTAAGAATTTTCGCCTCAGAAACCCCAAGTGGAAATAAATTGTTTATAATTAAATATTCAGGCTTTAAACATTAACGAATGACAAACAGCAATAAAATATACACTATTTGCGAAAAAAAACTTACACATAAAGCAATGTTTATCTCTCGTAATAGCGATAAATCCATTATTTTTAAAATCGAAGCAGAAATTCAAACAAGTCGTCTGTTTGAAATTCGGGAATGCAATGCAGAAAATCTGACGAAACGAAACTAGTTTTCCACTATGAAATGACTGAAATTTTCGTTTTCTGACTAGCAATCCACAAAATTAACATGAAATCAAATCGAAAGTAATTCTGGTGACAAATTGAAATAATGACGATTTTGATTAATGAACAATGATGCATACAGAATAAAGTGGATTTTAAAATTTCGTGTGACTTTTATACATGTACCCCATGCAAATACGTAGGTACCCAAGAATTACTTGTTTACAGTTATTTCACACATAATATGTTCCGGCCAAAATCTCAGGCGGAACGAGCTCATTAGAGAATGGCTTTCGGGTGTAAGAGTCCGAGGTATATAAGGAGCGTAGGGATGTTAACCGAAGCTCTTACTTGTAGGTGTACCTAGCCAGTGTGCTCAGGTGAGCGATGCGGCCCATGGGCCTTTTGTTATAATCCAAACCGCACATACGCGGAAGTAAAAATGACACGCCTGACGCTCGATTTAGTCTGGTTGTTAAGCAAATCAATATTGATGACAGTTGAAATTTGGGAGCATCTGATTAGTTATCTTTGCAACGTCTGGGTGAGTGAGGTGTGCAAGTAATGATTAACTTTGACATAGATGTGCTCTTTTGCAAGAAGGTGCTTCGCGTTGCGTTACCCTTGTTGTATAATTTCCACTCCCAGTATGGCAATATAAAATATGAAAAAAACAACATTATATACAATTCTTAGATTTCTTAATTTACTATCTACTTACGTAGATAGGATGTTCGACCAAACTATTATATGAAACAGTTATTTTTATCAATAATTTATGGATAATCAAGGGGAAATCGATTCGATCCAGTTCTGACAATGGTTGTGTATTATGGGGTAAGAAAACACAAAAATTTTAGAAAAAGTGAATATAATTTTTAAAAATGTTCCTTAAAAAAATGAAAAAAAAAATACCAAGAATTAAATACGCTGACAAATGCCCAAACAGATGCGCAGAGAAATTTTACATCATTGAATTACATGTATATTTACGCAGGACCAACCCACTGGTTCGAAATCACAACAGGATGGAGTTTCTGTGGAGGTTCTATTCAATCACCAGTTAATTTAAGAACAAGTGACTCCGTCTATCAGCAAGTACTTCGAACATATCCTCTCCGTTTTCAAAACCTTTGTCTTCGAATTCCAGCACGAATTCGTAATAATGGTAAGACATACAGGTATTTGACTGAATAAGCTGAAAGATGTTAACATGAAATCATTCTTTTGTGGCAAAGTCGTAAAGTTATTCATCATATTTTTTCCCCTTGCTTACTAAAATATATCATTATTTAATAATAGTCAATAAACGTTTAAATATGGAACATCTGTGATTAAATATGGAACATCAACTTGAAACTCTTAATATCTTGTTTTAGAATTAAAATTTATATCAAGTTAGCCTGAACATTTCTTTCAAAAAAATTCTCAATAATGCTGAATTTTTAGTATTGAATTTACTTTTCAGGACATTCCCCACATTTTGACACAGAGAGTGATGCCGTTGGTTTATACAATATCCCAGGTTTGCCTGGACAGAGATTTACATTTAATGAATTCCATATTCACTTAGGAAGAACTTTTGCAGAAGGGTCTGAACATCTCATGGATGGAAATAAATTTAATATGGAGGTAAACAGTTTACGTTAAATCATTCATATGTGCTTTATTACATTATTTTTTTTTTCATTTTTTTTATTAAAAGGACATTCCGTTTTGAAAATTAAGATCACAAAAACCAAATAAAACAGCTAATATTTTTTTTATCGCTACATGTAGTTCTAAGTCTTCAAATGTAAAACTATGAAAGAATAGTTTAAAATCATTTTTTTTATTACACAAGGCTCATTTAGTATTTTACAATAGCCGATACGGGGACGCAATCACAGCTAAAAGAAGTCCCCGGGGCCTCGCTGTCATGGGCGTAATGATACAGGTAACAGATTACAGTTTTTGACCATTTAATAAAATATAATTATATTCATTGTACAGTTATTGATCTCTTTTTTCATTATGTAAGAAAATTGTAAAGTTTGAAAACATAAAGATGTCTAAGGCAAGAAGACGTGTGTTTGCTAAGACGCAAGTATGATTTATACATTGTATACATATGTTTTATAAAATCGGCTTATTACTACAGGTTGCAGAGAACGGTGAAGAGTCGGATGGAGTTTTTATTGAGAAAAAAGATAAGGTTATTTCTATATATCAAGATCAAAATAACTTCCCTAGAAATAGCATGGCAAACTTATGAAACACTAGTATACCTTTGCTTTTTCTTAAATGAAATATAATTGATTACTGCGCCCCTTTAATCATCTGGTCTGTCTATCATTCTGTCTGTGTGTCTAACTAGTTGCAGACGATTTCTGAAAAGTCCATTAGCTTTTTCAAACTTTACATCATAATTCCCAATGTGTAAAAAAAGACCCGTTTGATTTTGAGGTCAAAAGGTCTAAGGCCAAGGTCAGAAATTGACATATTGCATAAAATGGCTACCAAATAATATTATAACTTTTCTTCGAGCTTTTGCAAATTTTATATCGTAACATCCTATCACTTATAAAAGATCCCTTTCCATTTTCATGTCCAAAGGTCAAGGTAAGAAATGATATAACTGCTTTAAGATGTGTGGGACATACTAAAATTAAGGTAGTGTTGTTTGAAGATTGTTCAAACCATTACCCCCCCCCCCCCCCGGGGGGGGGGCACAGCAGGGGATCAAAGTTATACATAGGGATATGTAGAAAAAATAGTTTAAAAAATCTTCCTCTCAGGACAGCAAAATAATGATTATTCATGTTTATATGGAATCATCGGATCCTCATCATTCATAGTAGAAACTGCTGATGAAGAAAAGAAGGGTCATAGTTACTCAGGTGAGCGTTGTGGTCCATGGGCCTCTTGCATGCGTTGTGAATGTTCTAAATAAAAATTTCAAGGAGAACATTTACGAACACATGCATTGGTTTCAAAGAATGATAACTAGCCGACTTAAATAATACCTAGGAAGATTGATATAATTTACAACAACTGTAAAGATTATGAAACGACTGAAAACGAAATAAAGTTGATTCTTTTAATTTACTAGTAATTTGTTAGAAATTACGATAAAAAAAATGCTCATGTTTTTGATATGAAATTTAGAAATTAATATGTGTCAATCTACTTCAGGATTGTGGAGTTGTTAGACACCGCCCTTACAGTAAATGCGTTTGTGATGATACAAACCCTTACTCTGCATATATTTGTAAAGTATCTGGTCGGTGCCAGTGTGAAGATGACAACGACTGTCCAGGACTGAGCAAATGCAGATTAAATGACGTCATACCAGGGCGATATTGTGGAAAACCTAAGGCATGCCGTGTCCGTTATGCTAGGAATCTAAGTTATATTATGGAGAACTACTATCGCAGTATACGTTTCTATACGAACGTTGCACCGAGGCTTGGTTTGTAATTATAAATAGATAAAACACTAATATATCATCTTTCTTTTCATATTTTTTAAGAAAGTTGAATGTTTATGGAAGTTGTCGCCTCAGCTTATCAAACAAAATCTGACTAATGCCTATGTAAAAATGAACATATTTTAACACGATATCAAGAACTCTTAATATATTTTATCTGAATATATCGATGAATCATGATATTTTCTTATTATAATTTTCCAAAAATAACGAAAAAAATATTGACAAATATATATAAACCTATTGTACATAATGTTCATATATTTCGACAGAAAAAAATACAAAAATATGCAAGTATATACAAATAATTTCAATGATACAGATGATTTTGAATTTTTGTTTTGATTATCTAGAGGATAGGCAGTGGGTAGAAATTCCAGAAGGTATTACCCCCAGCGATGTCTTGCCCTACGACTGGAGTTATTATACCTACCAAGGATCTCTTACCACGCCGCCATGTTTTGAAACTGTGACCTGGATAAATATGAGATGTCCAATTAAAGTTTCAAGACGAGTACGTAAAAATTAAAGTTATGATTTTTAAAATGATATTTGCACTCGTGCTTTGTCCCCATAAAAGCAATATTTAAAAACCCTGTGTATCTAACAACAGCTAATTGACTATATATCCATCAGCAACACATTGAATATTACTACATGTATATATTTTTATAATTAATTCTGGCTTCCTTTTATATAAATCAAAATTTGAAATATATCCTGATTGTACCGAAGAGAAAAAAAAAGCATGACTGTTTTACAACGTATAAGACACTTGTTACATTGATGATGAAGCACTTGTATATAAACATGTATTTTTTTCCCAATGCAGGCGTATAATAATCTAGCTTTAGTCAGAGATGTAAATGGTCCACCACTCGTCACATTTGGATTGGACAGACCAGCGCAACGAGGAATGTATAACGGCCCGAGCGTTTCAGTTTCCCGTAGTTTTCAATGGGACACAGTTGGAACAGAAACATCATTTTGTAATGTTAATTGAATAAAACATTTTTTTTAACTTTCAATGGAAATCTACAAAATTACAGGTAGTTATGAATGAAACACCATGAGATTTGATTTGGTGTAGTGAGATCTCTTCCTCACCTGTTATTAAAACAATTTTATTTCCTTCAAATAATGAAAACAAATTCTACTTGATTAAGTCACTTCCATGTAAATCGAGCAGAAAAATGTAGTTCCTGTATCTACTCACGGCTTCATTGCGTCACCCATGACAAATGACAATTAATATACAGAACTGCAGTACCGATGTCGGTACATTGCTGTAACACGTAATGATATTGCTTGTAAACATGTAAAAACAATTAAGCATGTAAATCTGATGAAGATAGCAATAAAAGCATTTTTTTACTTTAGATTTCATTATATATGCTGTCATTTTTAATAACGCCGGAGGTGTTATGTGTATGTATTCCTTTTCTTGGACATAAAATCTGTGTTGTATTATCAAAATAAAAAAGAAAATATAGAGATATTCTTCAGAACACAAAAATAATTTTTTTTTAATTGCATAGGATTTTTTTTTAAATAATTAAAACATTTTCGTAGTGTACTATCAAGATACAAAATTTTATTAGTCTTATTTGGGCCCGCGGAGAGGCAAAAAAGATTTACAAACATGAAAAAAAAAAAGAAGGAGGAAGATCCAAACGATAGAACAAATTTCATCTTAGATATAATGAGCAGTGCTGAATTGTATAATCATTGATAAATACATCTACAAGACATACAATAAATATACATGTACATATTGTATATGTCATAATAATATAGTCAAGTAACTGGAAAAATACAAAAGTGAATATTAAAGAACAGAAGATATGATATATTGCCATATATATAAATACATCCCAATATATTTTAAAAAAAAATTTCAGCTAAGATAGATTATCAAGGAATCTAGCAAGTGAACTTAGGATTTCAGGGTCTTCATTAGTAATGAGCCAATGAAATTGATAATCATATGATAGACACTGAAACTTTTACATTTATTATTACAAATATTTATGAGTTCAAGTCTGACATGAGGACATACAAAGAAAAAAAATTAATTTAATCCTGAATCTCCTTGTGATCACAAAGGGAAAAAATTCGATCATCTTTAGGTACTTTTTGATATCGTCCAATTTTGATTTTTACTATCTATAATTTACTACTAATACAGAAACACAAAAAGAAATTAAATATGTCAGGTCCAAGCAACAAATATTGTACATTTTTTGTCAAAATATTTCAAAAAAATTTCAACATTGTAGAAACATTTACTTATTAACTTAATGCAAATATTCAAGTCTCGTTTAAAATTTTTCTTAAAACAAGAAAGCCAAATTTTCGATAACATCAACTGTAATCTTAGATAATTTGATATTAATATTTAAACAAAACTGAAAGAAAAAAAATTTACACATAAACGTGTATTAGGGTTTTTGAGTGCTACAAAAGAAGAACGGGGGTGTGGGTGGGAAAGGGTATAATTTAAAGTACTTATATGAATAGGCATTTAAGACATCCCTTCATTAAAACTTTATTTTTAAAAGTTAATCAGCTCTTCAATCGGCTGTTAGTAAGAAACAGTTTGACTGAGAAGACCAATAAGATATTGTACACCGGGGCGTTTAGTATGCTATAATAACATTATTACGTGTAAGAAGTTATTGTTTGTATGCTTTTGCTAATGCGTTGACTGTTAGAATCAAGAAAAATAAATCAATCTTGAATGTTAAACGGACTGATACTTAATGAAATAAAATGGTATTTCCCTTTTCTATGAATATTACAAGAGAAGAAAATAAAGGAAAAATGATGACATGAATTACTCAGTAAGAATTTTCATCTATTTACCAATTATAAAGGACTTAAATTCATCCGTCCTTAGATGCATGTAACACGCAGTATATATTTCGAGAGCAAACAGGGGTTTGCCATGTTTGTCCAAGAAATCTAGATATAAGTGTGCTAGCTTGATTCTAAGAGTTATTCAGCGCCGATATATTTTATAAGAATGCTTAGCAAAAAATCAAAGAAGATGACAATTTCATTGATTCTGACTCTCAGCTGCTTATGCACACAGTTACTTGGATCTACAGGTAATTCAATGAAATTTTTACTCCATGATTCTACTGAAATATTTATTTCCTAACTATTATGTCTGTAAAGATGTTTCATCGAGGAAAACATTATCCATCTTCTTAAAAAATATGATTGAAAATACATCAATATATTCTTTAAGGAGATCACTACGCATATATTTGAGTTTTTATTCTTTGTACAAGAGTATTTAATGTTTACGGAAGCATCAATCCCTCTTAAGTGTTATTAAAACAATGAACTGAACAAACAGAGTTTCAAGGTTTAAAAGCACGTTTGTTATATTTGGAAATGATTAACAAATTGATTTCATTGTATTGAGAAAGATAATTTTTTTGTCCTTGATTTTTAACTATTTCAACTATTATTTAGCCAGAGATGATAAGCAATATACAAACGTCACAGATGATAAACTTAGTAGAGAATTTTGAAAAATGGAAATAACAGTAGATATGAATAATGGTTTTTTTTATTCATGACATAGCTCTTAATTTTCGAAATGAAACTACATTTCATTGTTTTATCAAAGGAAATTTAAATTACCATATATTTTCAAGTTTTTCCAAAATAGAATATTCCATTAAATCGATTAAATCATATGTTGATCAGTTCTTAAATAAAAAAAAACTGGTGTACGAAGGGATAAATGTTTTTTTTTGTCCGTCCATCAAGTACGGAAGCTCGTTGAGGCCAGTTCAGAGAAAGAAATATTTTTTATTGTGTTTAAACGCAAAAATTATTGCGTTTAATCGCAAAAGTATTGCGTTTAATCGCAAAAGTATTGCGTTTAAACGCAAAAGATTGCGTTTAATCGCAATGTATATTAAGTTTAAACGCAAAACACTTTGCGTTTAATCGCAAAAGATTGCAATTAAACGCAATCTTTTGCGTTTAAACGCAATACTTTTGCGATTAAACGCAATACTTTTGCGTTTAAATGCAATAATTTTTGCGTTTAATCGCAATAATATTTTTGCGTTTAAACGCAATAATTTTTGCGTTTGAACGCAATGATTTTGCGATTAAACGCAAAAATTATTGCGTTTAATCGCAAAAGTATTGCGTTTAAACGCAAAAGATTGTTTTGCGTTTTAACGCAATATACATTGCGATTAAACGCAATCTTTTGCGTTTAAACGCAATGATTATTGCGATTAAACGCAATGTTTTGCGATTGAACGCAATAATTATTGCGTTTAAACGCAATAAAAAATATTTCTTTCTCTGAATTGGCCTCAACGGGCTTCCGTAATCAAGCTATTTGACAGTGTACAAATATCTGTATGTCTGTTAATTTTCAGAATAATTTTTTATTCATCAAGAATATTAACAGGACATAACATTGCTTAGTTTTTTGTCCATCCTTAGAAAGAGTTTCTGCGGCTAATTATACACTAGCAATCTGTGAGGGACGCTCCATCACTCTGACATGTCAAGGACAGATAGTCATCCACTCGGCTATATATGGTCAATCCAAAGGAAACATTTGCAATGGTGCTATTTCTGCAACTTGGTGCAGACTCGATGTGTCTGGTGCTCTCACAAATAAATGTAAAAGCAGAAATACTTGTGTGATAACTGTCGGAAATGCAGAGTTCAGAGACCCATGCCGCGGAGTCAAGAAGTATTTGGAACTGATTTATTTATGTGTACCATAGAATTGTACTCACTCGATGGTTACCAAATAATTTCAATTACTATCTACAGAAGGATATCATACATGTAAATTAAAGAAAGTTTATAACGTTTTAAAAATCTCATAGTGTCTCAGTTCATTTTCTGTCATTAAGAGACGTATGTACAGGTACATTGTACAGAAAGAGGGTTTATTGTAAGCAGCCTTATCTTTGAAAAAGGGTACGTTCTTATATCTAAAAGTGGGTTTTCTGAACCAAAAGTTTATTTTGGTAAATCGTTTAATTAAATAGCTATTTATTTTTGGGAAGTTGTTACAGTAATCTTGGAATAATAGCACTTAAATATCCCTTTTTCGTACAGACTAAATGTCAAAACACAATCTGAATTAATATGTTTTTTCATATGCATGATAATATCAAAATTGACATTATATGTTTACCCAGAATACTCATGCGCATGCGCATTGTGGTACATGCATAAAGACGAACGTAGTTAGCAAAAGAATGGAAGTGTTTGTTTAACATCCGTTCGAGAATTTTTCACTCATATTGAGACGCTGCGACTTGTAGGTGGAGGCCTGCAAATTTAGTCCTGTATTGATATCATAGTATATGCATTTTCCTTAAAAGTAAACAAAAATCGTGATAAGTGTTTCAAACTACAGTGTTCCAGTGAACCATTATGTCTCCTGATTTATAGTTCCAATAAAGATGTAAATAAAATAAGAGTGACCAGTTATTTATCTGCAACTAGTTTTATACAGTAGTTCATGCTTTTAAATGCAAAGAAAAAACATTCATGGCCAGAAAGACTTCTATAAAAATAAAATGCAGCAAATAAATAAAAATATGATTCCCCAACCCCCAACGACAAAAAAATAATGAAATTGAAAATATGAGAGAAAATTATTTGTCATCTGATTCATTGTTTAATCCAACAATGTCTCAATTCGTGACTAGAGAGATACTGTAATTGTCAGTCTACAACTTTATTTGAAGTGCAATCCATTCTGGTGTACATATCCCCATGATTTTTTATCGTATCTAAATTTCAATTTGTGTGGTAACTGTACACAATAAAGTTTAAAAGAACAATATCACGAACTCATAAACATGTGATAAAGATAACAGAATACTGATTAAACTAATTCTTCAACAAAATTCCAAATTAACATTATTTTTTTAAGTACGTGTATCACTTAATGTTTGCACTTAATACTGTCATAGTAACTTTATTCAGACAAGGTATATACAG